TCTCTCTCTCTCTCTCTCTCTCTCTCTCTCTCTCTCTCTCTCTGTCTCTCCCTCTGTCCCTCTCTGTCCCTCTCTCCCCCTCTGTGCATGTGTGTGGACATACTGTGCAGTACAAAATGAGGAAGCAGTTTAATTTCCCTCTCTTTATATTTCATGCTTGGGGAACTTCCTTTACTTGTGCCCTTAGGACTTCTGCTCCTAACATTTTTATTTGGTGCAGTTCTCCTGTGCACCTTCAGAACGACCAAGCGCAAGCTCTGAAGCTGCAGATGCAGCAACTGCCTCTCTCGCACTGCTCAGGCATTCGCCTCTCCATAAGGTGTACCCGTAGTGAACACGAAACAACTTGGCTGAACCAGCAGCCTTTGGCAGCTGCTGCTTCATTCAGGTTTCAGAGCATCTGTGGCAGCTGTGTAGAAAGCTGTCATGGATGGGAAATGTGCAGCTGCTGCTCTACCTCCTAAGCCTCTGTGTGCCTGCCTCACCCTGTCCCCTCCTCCCAAGAAAAGGAGAAAGGAAAGCAGTGGCCGCCCTGAAATCTGCCTTTGGAATCCATCTCTGGACAGACCCACGTGGCAGCTGCCTCCTTCTAAGAGAGCACAAAGTATAGTTCAATTCTCATTTCTTCAATACCTTGTGGGACTTTGTACTCCTCCCTTCCTTGGAAGAAGTTATCTATATTTTTCAGTGAAATATTGCACCACAATTCAGAGAGGCAATTTGTTTAGAAGGACAATTGGAACAAACAAAAACAAATGGTCAGAGTCTTCAGGGTCCACGAACCTCCCAACCAGGAATCTATTTGTTAGACCGAAGCCATAGAAGAGAAATGCAAGTCAAATTTAAGGAATCTTAAAGCACTACATGAATGTATATCAACAACTCAGGCAGCAGTGGCTATTCTGTACTTAAAGACCTATATTTTCTAATTATCCTCTCATAAGTGGCATCCTCTGGATAGCAGTTTAGACAAGTAATAGGATTTCTTATCTTTTGAGTAAATGATCAAAGTTTGCTTGGCTCATTTTGTTATTATGTAGAGCATTAGGCTATGAACCGAAGTGGTACTAAGCATTCATGCTGAGTGACTACTGCCCGGGTTGTTTGGATACCATGAGTAAGATAAATGATGGCTCAATATTTGGACCAACTCAGAATTTCTATGAATCCAATACCCAGATACAATACTCATCACTTCTAGGGACAAAGGCAGACTGGATTTTCTCCTTTGAATCTTAAAGAATGCTTCAGAATATCAATGTTGCATGTCTTCTAGACTGGATCCTAGACCCTTTCCTGAGCTTTAATCCTTTTTATTATGAGAAAGGTTGTGTAACAGTCTTTACACTTAAGAATTTAAAATAGACAAAGACATATTTGAGAAATGTAGTTAATCAAAATTTTTTTTTGAAATTCCCACGTGCATTATGATTTTGTAGTAGGGTGTCCTTTTAATAGGTGTTTCCTCAAGAAGGGCATTTTGTTACAACAACTTCACAGCTGTTGACCATCAATCCTACCTTTATTTGATTAAGTGCAGTGTACAGCACATCTTTGAAAACTGGTCATTCAGCTAATTGGCCATACAAACAAACCACTTTGCCATTTGTCGTTAATTACAGGGTAATGTATGGGACATGGCCTGTGTCGTCACTGACCTCTGTGGCAGACATGAATGCATTTGCTATTCTAGCACCTCATTTAGAGCTGTGAGGTCCAAATGCGATCATCGTCTATTCTATAAGGAAGCATCACTCAATCAGAGATCACAAGGGACCACAGAAACATGTTAATGGGTCATCTACCAACCGGGTGGTATGGGGCGATCAGTCTTTTGGCTGTTCCAAATGTAAGCTAGATGTATATTAGCATCCTTCCAACACTGGTGGGAAGATATTAGCTTGCCCAAAGTCATGTACTGGAAACCATAAGGAGGTTATAAACGCAGCTGCACATAGATACCTCCATCCATGTATACCAGCTATTTATTCGTATCCTTAAAGGTTCGTATGATTTCATGCTGATTCTGATGAACTGCTTCTAATTTAGGAACATTTGCTCTCCACCTAACACTATTCAAACTGTATCTGACAGTTGTCATTTCCTCTAACACCCTGGATAAAATGGTAACTCTAATACTACCTTGTAAAATAATTGGAATTTAACCAATTTGTGGGGCAAGCTTTTCAGCACTGTCTTTATATCTTCCCCCTTTGCTTCTTTTTTCTCCTCTTTCCTCACTTTTTTTCCTCTTTTGCCCCTTCTTCTGGAAACCCGACTTTGGTCATGTTGTCTTCTAATTTTGTGGCACTCTGATGGCTCCTCTCTATCACAACTGCTTTGTCATGTATTCCTTCCCCCTGGAGTGGTCCCAATGGTCAGTAGCTCCGAGACAAAACGTTCAACCTCAGAACTATGTATACAACTTCTTAGGCTGGAACAGAGTTGAGTTCCATGTCTGTAAAAGTATTCTCAGAACCCGACGGACTGCAGAGTTTTGCCAAACGTTTCAGGATTAGTTTAGGATTTCCGGAGATCTTGACTTGGACACTGCAATCCAAATATTTTCTTGATGAACAACCGAAATGTGCTCAGTCAAAATTTTGAATTTATTTTTTGTGTAAATTATGAATGGCAAGGCACTTCTTTTAATATGTCCTTCTACATATGCAAGCAAATTGGTGGTGACTTGAAAACATCTTGGATTGATTAGTTATATATGGGGATGGAAGTTTTTCACCTTCAGTTGTCTCTGAGGCAGCTTATCTGACATAATTGTTGTTGTTAACTGAATGCCACTCTGTAACTGCAAAAAAATTTGCAACTTGTTTTGTTGATATTCTGAATGCTTCTAAGTAAATACAACAAAAAAACAAATAAGGAACAGAGTGTAATGATGCAGTGGCAGTGGGAAAAGACAAAAGGACAGCTAGGATTTGGAGGCAGATTCCTTTCCATCCATGTACACTAACCGGGATCATTGCCAAAACATCTGCCTTGATCTCTGGTGGTCTAGGGCTCATCTGGCGTAAGCAGGCCGAGAGCAGAGAGGCACAGTGGCTTGTCACCTGAGGATTGGTTCTTACAGTCTGCATCATAGTTCTTACAAGCCATGCATTACAATGATCAGCTGTCTCTAAGAAATAAAAGTAACAGGCACTGCAACCAGAACTATTACCTGGCATCTAAAAAACTGAAGTATACTTGGGTGTGGGGGCCATTTTCTGCTACAATAATACATTTAATTATGAAACTCTGAAAGTTCAACCACTGAAATTGTTTTTTTTTTTAAAAAAAAAGCACTGAAACTGATCTCTTACCATATGGATAGGTAATTCAATGTTGAAAACAGTATTTTGCACAAAATAATTTCTCAGTAAAATTTTGTTAAGTCAAACTTAAAGCTAAAACACCAGAATTATTATGGACATATTGGAAATAAATATCCTTCTTTACTGAAGAACTGAATAAATTATTAATGTGATGTTCCCAGAATATAAATGTGAGCAGGATTCAGCTTGCTAAGTAAGTAAGGCAGCCATGGGGCAACCCTTAATTAAGTAGGAAGGCAATCTTTGATAGTCGCATGAAGCCCTACTTGGAACCCTTGGGAGCACTGTTTCGTCATGTTCGTAAGAGGCTGCTTTAAATCCAAACGAGAGGCATAGGAGGAAGGACACCTCAGTGAGTCAAAAGTACCCACGAGTGAGTGGCTTTCTAAAATCTCAAGCCATCAGGCCCCTTGGCAATGAAGATGAACCTCTTGACCTTTGCCAGTGCTTTCTTCCAGAGTCTGCTTTAAAAAGAAAGTCATTTCTCTCTATTTCGCCTTTGAAACTAAATCTGGCTGGGCCCCGTGCAAACTTCGAAGAGTGACATTTTGATCCATTATAAAATCCATCTCTGTTCTCTTTTCTTGCTTTTGAATAGCACCAAAGTGGATCCGTAGTTCAGTGATAATCGTAGCATTGTTCCCTGCTTCACAGTTTGCAGTTCTATGTGCAGGTTTTCTCTTTCTTACAAAATCAAGTAAGATATATTAGGATGGAGCTTCCCACCCAGAGTACTTTGCTTGCCTCTTTAGACAGGAAGTAAGTTTTCAGTAATCCACTTATGATCCTGGAGCGAGTGAGTAACACTTATGACTAATAGCACCAGGATGGGTGGTGGGCCTAAGCACAGAACCTACTTCTACTGAAAGAGGAAATGCATTCTGCCATTTCATCTTCCAAATGTTGTCTTTTGATTGTTTTGCCCTGGGAGCCAAAGATTGTTGTACATAAGTAGCATGAAGTTCTCAATTATTAGTATGTGAGTTATCGCTCATAAGCAAATTAAGGAAATTAATGAAACAGCCACTAAGAAAAATCCTTGCAGTGAACAATTAGCATGATGTTCTTTCTCGCCTCTTCTATTCAAAAGCCGGCAGCTACATTCTGTATAAAACATCCTGTAAGTGTTTGCTGTTCATTCCTGCAAGCTAAGCTCTCAGGAGCACAGTTTGTCCCCTAGCAAGAAGATAATAGCTAGCACAAGCCGAGAAATAAAAAGCCGAACAAGATGTGACCCCATGCTGAGCTAAATCGACTGATCCTTCGACAGACAGATATCCACATGGCACCCAAGTTTGGGCTGTGGAGTGTTGCTGTCAGCCGCCAGAGGCTCACACCACTGTGGCACCACTGCCTGGTGTGGGCAAGCTTCGGGCAGCATTCACAGGAGAGGCATGGGACAAAATTCTGGGAAAAGAGTAACCTGCACCCCATACATAGAGAATCCCCAGCGACCTAACCTGGGCTCCCTTCAAAGCTATTGAACTAAACAGTGATGGGTGGCAGGAAAGAAATTTCCAACTGCACTGAGCATTGTGTGACTTTCACTCATTTCTTTTAAATCAGCATCTTCACTGTTCAAGTGGATGAAGACCGAAGACATATGCAAAATCTGACAGTAGAGCACCCCATTGAAGTGAAAAAGCTCTTTGTGGGAGGAGCTCTGCCTGAATTTCAACCTTCCTCACTCCAAAATATCCCTCCTTTTGAAGGCTGTGTGTGGAATCTTGTTATTAACGCTGTGTAAGTGACTTTCCTTCCACTTTTGTTTTTTCAATTCAAGGTTCACTGTTTTATCTACATTATGCAAAGTCATAATGGAAGGAATCCATGAAGATCTGTAATTTAGATTTGGAGTGCTGCACTAGTGGCCTCAACGGAGGTAGAGAGAGGACATCCCTTGATGGGAAAGAAAGGAAGAGAGAAAAATAAGAAAAAAATCATTTTGATCCTATTCATTTAGGCCCATGGACTTTGCACGGCCTATATCCTTCAAAAATGCGGACATCGGTCGCTGTGCCCATCAGCGGGCTGGGGTGGATGAAGAGGGAGCCGTTCCAGCTGAAATAGTCATCCAGCCTGAGCCTGTGGCCACCCCCGCCTTGCCTCCACCCACCCCCACTCCGGCGCAGGTAAGTGTTCATCTCCCTGCTGCTTCTCTCGGACCATTAGCCAGCAGTGGGAGTCACTCTCAGGAGATTCCTCCTGATGTCCGGTACGCAGTGTGCTCTGCTGTCCAGCTAGAGAAAAGACAACTGTCTGCTAAGATCTGTTTTCTTTGCAGCTTGCCCAGACTAGTGCTTTCTTTCATGCATTTGTTCTCCTTCAATTTTTGTGTTTAGAAAAGTGTACATTTTAACGTGAGAAGTTGGAAAGCACAGAAATATCCAGAATCAAGAATTAAAGGCACTGGGGTCGGGGAGATGGCTCAGTAGAATAAGTGCTTGCCTGGCAAATGCAAGGCCCTGAGTTCAATCCCTGATTCCACCAAAAAAAAAAAAAAAAAAAAAAAAAAAAAATTAAAGGCACTGAAAATGCCTGTACACAGAGACAATCATATCAATTTCAGGTCCTTGTGTTTATATTTTACACAGTGGGTCTCATGCCATACGTAACATTTCATATCCTAATTTTAAACACTAGTGATAGACAATTACATTGATTTTTTCCCTAAGCATCACATAAATGTACATGCCGAATAGGATTCTATTATTTGTGTACACAGTACACTCATGCATAAAACATATTAAAACCTGTGTTTTAGTCAGCCAACCTGGGTTTCAATGCCAGATTTCCAACCTACCATGTAAATTTGCTTAGCCAACCTTGTCCTCCAGGTCCTCATTATTTATTTATTTATTTATTTTGTATTTTTAGAGAACGGTCTACAGGGTGTTCAGGGTCTCACTGCTAGATCGCACTCATAGTGATCCGCCTGTTTACAGCCTCCTAAGAACTGGGATTACAGGCGTGCTACTATGCCCAGTCTCAATAGCCATCTCAGTGAGCCCTGGGGTGGGGCTGGCATAGCAAGCCCAAGGATCCAACCCCCGGCCTTTGCTCCTGCTTGCAGGTGCTTTAATCCACTGAGTTATTTAGCCTGCCCTGTCCTCATTTTTAAAGTGAGGGTATTCACTGCACACATGTCAAATTGCTATTATCAAAATTTTAACAAATGTCTTCCAAAAGCCTGGCATCAACCCAGCACCTAATATATAGATAATTAGGATGCTCTAATGATAATAATGATTTTTCTCCAAGTATTTACCGAGTCCAACACTAGCTAAGCAATTTCCATTCAGTGTTACATATAACCCTCACAACAGCCCTGTAAATACAACTTATGATTCCATTTTTAGTTGCTTTGTCAAGAACATCTTAAGTCACTAACCAGCTCACACAGCTAGAAAATGTCAAGCTGGAAATTTTAGTTCAGTGAGTCTGCCTCCAGAGTCCACCTTGTCACCCCTGTAATGGGCTCTATGACTCATTCTACCGTGAGTGGCCCACTGTGGGCTACTTAGTGCATTCCTAGTTTGTCACCATGAGACAGTATACTTTGACAAGCATATCTATAAACCAGATTTTCTCATCATTTCTTGATATTTTCTTAGAACAGATGCTTAAGATGAGAAACAATGATGCCAAAGGATAGTGGTGTTGAGGGCTATACCTTTTCCAAAGATGACCTCAACTTAGGTTCTCACCATCGTGGACCAGAGAGAGCCAGGATCACTACATTCCCGGCAGCATGTGCACCACATCTACGGCTCACTGCTTCTGCATGTTATCTGAGGGTGCAGGTTTTGGGGGGCTTTTATGGCTGTGCTGTTGCTATTATTGTTGTTATTTGGTGCCAGAGACTGAATTCAAGAACTTGCATTTGCCAGGTAGATGCTTATGCCACTGAGCTATCTCCCTGGCCCCACATTTTGAAAACTCTTAAATGTTTCATTGCATTCCTCGCTTTACAAGATGGAATTGGCTGTGCACAAAATAATGCCTGCCTTTGCTAGAAGGATGTATGAAAGAGCAGGCCAAGGAATTATCACTCAGTAAACTTGGTTATTTATGCTAAGCATCATTTCAGCCTCTGAAAGGTGGACACCACTTCTACTTTGGCTTACTACATGGAGCTACTATAATGATCAAATGCGGTCATATAGGGGCCAGAGAGATGGCTCAGTGGAATAAGCGCTTCCCTGGGAAGCACAAGAGCCTGAGTTCAATCCCGGGTTCCGAAAAAAAAAAAAAAAAAACCAATGTGGTCATATATGTGGAAGTTCTCTGAGAACTGGAAGAAATGCATCCACTTAGATGCAGTAAGGAATGCCTGCCTTGGCTGAGTCATGAGCGTGTAGCCTGTATTCTGGCGACATCCTACACGCTTTGTTCCGTTTGGTCTCTACAAGCTATTGCTTTGTTTATATTAGTGTCATCTCACAGAAGGAAACATCTAAGATCACACAGCGGCAATCACATATGGCCATCAGTGGTGCTGGATGACTTTCCCTGGGCATCACTTAGATCCTCTCTGTGAGTTTCCAAGTGTCCTCTCCGCTCCCTTGTGACGTGGCTTCCACCTGGACCTGCCTGCAGCACGGCCGCCTTCTCTTTCCCTTATTTATATATCATAACCTCATGAATAGGCATTTTTGACCTTGGATTCTTTCATCTCCTTACGAAACAACTGTAGAAGAAATAGAGTCTAATTTGTAAACAACTAACTTAATTATGTTATTAATCATAACAACTAACTTAATTATAAATTATAATTGGTAAGAGCCATGGAGATCATCCGGTTCAATAAACTTCTACTACGTGGACGTGAATTCCTGATGAGGACAGGCAAGCTGTGTTTGAGGCCTTCATTCACCAGCATTTTCTGGGGTTGTGCCGAGCCGGGCTCTGGGTGCTGGAGAGCCTGCAGTTACACTGGAGTCGGGCTGTGATTCCGTGACTTCCGTGTAACGATCGTGTTTCTATAGCCATGTGCATTAGTGTCCACTCTAATATTTTCAAGGGTAGGAGAATAGAAACTTCTCCTCCTGCTGCTAAATATGCCCTTAGTTGATATATTTTTGTGGGACCCAATTTCTAATTCTCATATCCTCAGTGATCAACATCTTCCAGTTGAAATACCTCTTTAAACATTTGGCACCTAGGATAGATCACAGTACTCAAAATGAATTGTCCAGTTTTGGGGGACATTGGGACCCCTCCCTCTCTTGGTCCCTTATCCTCCTTCTGTGAAAACCCCTGAGACATTTTCATGTTTATAACAACTACACTGTGCTGTTTTCTCCTAATCTGGCACCTTATTTGATTAAGCAAAACATCATAAACTTTGTTATCACTAGAATTTCCTTCGTGGGAGCTCTCATCCTGCACATGTTGGTTTGGTTTATATTTTTACAAAACACCCTTGCTGGCCTCTACCAATCGCCGCACTTGCCCATGTGCCCACATCCTAGGACGTCTTAACCACATCCCTCTGTGGATTCTAAAAATCACGTTGTTTTCTGCATCTGGAGATTTTTTCACTGCCTTGGAGTTTTCTTGGAACCTTCTGCTCTAATTCCAGTTCCCATTTTCTCTCAGCAGTGTCTGGTTTAGCTTTTCCAAAAACATACCATTCCACTTAGAAGACAAGATGAAAGCCCAAGAGCTGAGTAATAGCCCAACTGGTTGGTCTAGAAGGAATTAGAGAGGATCCTAGCTAGAAAAAAGCTCAACAAAACCCGGGCCTTAAGATACAGAGCCCAAGCCTCCCACCATGATGGGACACCAAACCCAAATACTCCGACACCAAACCCAGACATCTAAGCTCTATTCACCTCCTGGTGTCTTGCACATTGCAATTATTTATCACTTCTGAAATCAGTTGTCTTTGAAGGTTATTTATTTCTATCTTTTTGTAGGAAAATGAATCATCTTTTTAAAGGTACTAAAAGTTAATGATTTATTTTATAACAAATACTTACTTTAAAGAGTCTGATATATACAAAGGTGAATAAAATATTGTCATTGCTAGCTAAAGAAGAGAGTTGGAAACAGAGACAAAATTGAGTTTTCTGCTACAACCCACCTGAATGTGCTCTGGCAGGTGACCTAACCTGTTGAAAGATATAATATCATCTCCTTAATATTAGGGAATAAGTTACACTGTGTAAGCAAATCCATAGCACAATCTCTGGCTCTCAGGAACACCGAACTGCTGCTCTTTCTGTGAGAACTGTTTTGTTTAACCTGTTCAACCTGCTCACCTTTTGGGTAGCAGCAAGTGCTAGCCAAAAGGAGATGCTGGGAGAATCCCATCTTTTTTTTTTTTTTTTTTTGGTAGAACAGGGGATTGAACTCAGGCCTTTGCACTTGCCAGGGAAGCGCTTATTCCACTGAGCCATCTCCCCGGCCCCAAGAATCCCATCTTTAAGCCACTTAACTCTGACTTGATATGCACATTAGATCTGGTAATGGGGCAGATCTGAAGCACCCCTCAGTAACCTGCTGCTCACAGGTGGGGCTTCTGGAAGGAGCCTGGCTCCCAAGGGAGCTCCAGTCCACGTGGGCAATAGAGGACAGGCTGTTCACCACCACGTAGGGGCCCGGAAGCACATATCAAATCCTCATAACAAGCGTGGCCCAAGATGGATGTGCACACAATGAGCTGGCCACAGTTTCTTACCTGAATCATGTTGAAAAATTGACCTATGAACTGCCAAGCTTAACCTGTAGAAATTAAGAAGAGTGATATAAGTAACCGTGAAGAGAACTGTACTGATAAAGGCTCTGTGGAAATTGGGGGAAAGAAGCAAACAGAGAAGGAAAAAATAGAGCACGAAAGTGATTTCTCTAGCAGCTTTCATGCTGCAGTTCTAAAAGCCAAGTGCAGTCAAGGCCAAAGGAGGAATCAATTGGATACTGATATGTACTTAAAGGGAAAATGCACATTCTCCTTACTTGAAGCAACCTCTCCTTGGGCATTAGCGTCCAGACACCAAGGAAAGGCCCCCATATCCACCAGAAGGGCTCATGTCCAGAGTAAGCATGATCGAGCTCCTCACACACAGCTCGAGGAGGAATTCTGCATTCCTGTGAAAAGTATCTCACTCGGCTCTCATCCTGCAAGACCATTACAGATCAGCATCAGGTGGGACTTTCCACATGTGAGGGGGATTATTGGCTCATGAAAGAAAAGCCATTATGCAGGTTTTAATGACTCTTCACTGTACTTTCAAGAACAAAAACAGCTGTTTTGATAAATGCAGTCGAATTCCTACCTCAGTCCAAGGGCTGCTTCCCAGCGAATTCTCTGCTGCCTTGAGTCGGATCACCTGTTTCCCAATGTTGCTCACCAACCAGCAGTTAGAAATGACCACTGCGCTATTCTGACCTAAAATGAAACAGGATTGAGAGGTTTTTGAGCCTGGTTTTTAATCTTCTGTGCCACCTGCTCCCTAACATGGCTCTGGGGAGCTGACTTCTTTCTGATTGTCCCACACCCACCACCGCCTTCCTGGGCAGGTGCATCCCCACCCCAGCCTCCCCAGAGGTCCAGGCTGCCCACATCTCACTGCCGCCAAGCCCAGACAAGAGAGCACAGTGTTTCACATTTTCCCCTCACGTGTCCTTGGTAGTGTTTAGAGTGTCCCCACAAGGTGGCAGAATTGTAACGTGTTTGAGATTGATGAGCCTCTGTGGAAACTAAGGGTTTTTTTTTTTTCATTTTCGTTTAAACAATTTAAACATTTCAGAGATGAGTGTTTCCCAAACAGCACAGGAAATGCATGAATTCCGAAGGCCAGACCTTAAGGACAGCCCTAGGCTGAGGAGGTGGTCCTTTCGCAAGCACTGCCCCCCTCCTAGCCTTTCGCTCATCTTGCATTGTCTTGAGAGCTGGCAGCGTCCTTGCTGACAAGATCATGCCAATCTGTGCAAAGCAGAGGCATGTTCTAATCCAGCTCACAGGTTCCCCTCTGGAATGCTAGCCTGGAAAGAAGCTAGAGCTGCAGGAGCAGTGTTAGTTCCACCCTCAGACTGCGGGGCATGAGGCAGGCAGAAGAGAGGGCCACGCAGAGGCAGCAGGCAAGGCTGGGGGTGGCAGCCCCGCACCCTTTATTTATCTCAGTCTCCTCCCTTCGGTCCCCCAGAGGAGGTGAAAGCGCAAGGTGCCCACGATCCAGCCCAGTCTCCTACCCAACCAAGACATCACTAGCCTAGAGGTTAGACCTTTACCTTCCCATTGAAACCCTAAAGCAGCCACATATAAAACCCTCTCTCTCTAGCATTTCTCTGTCCTTTTAACAGCATCCATACTATTCTTTGGAAATCTTTGATAGCAAGCACCCATCTGGATGTCCTTAGAGAAAAAGACTCCACCACAGTGCTGTTTCACTTGAAGGCTATCAGAGGGATCTGCTTGCTTCCCTCTCTTCAATAGCATGAACCAACCTCAGTACTGTTCACCTTTTCATCGGCCGCTGCTTCAGCCTGTCCTTCAAGTTGGCCATTTGCAGTAGGAAGCAGGAGCCTGTAGGGGCGCTTTTCTTTCCGTTTGAAGCAGTGTGGTGTATAACGGTTTATAAAATGATCTGGATACAGTCCCTGTCCATTTCTGGACAAAGGATTTTCCTAAAATGATATAAGCAGGATCTTTTTTCATTACTACATCTGAAAATATGTGACAAAGAACAGCTGCTCGGCTCAGAAGTTTTGGAAGCATCTGCCCAGTTTTCCAGCAGGCAAAGGTGCCCTGAATTTGGGCCACCATGCACCATGTAAAGACAGAAGTCCTCCAAAACATGCAGATGCCACCAGTAAAATACCTACTCCTGACAACTGTCACCCTGGTCACTGAAAAGATCACATTAGAATCTGAGTTCATGTTGTTCATGTTGGCACTTTATATTTATGAACATTTGTGCGAAGTAACAGAACAAGTGGCTACAATAGCAGCAGTCCTACAGGCATAGGCAACTGGTGGTTTTCTTATAGCCTACCCATCATCGTTCACTAATTCTTCACCATCCATTGACTTTTTCAGTTTCCCAATCTTCAGAACTGAGAGTGTAAGGATGTTTTAGTGAAATCCTGCCCCTGTGGACTCACAGCAGATGGGATTCTCTTAAAGGTTTCTGGGGAGGGCTGCAAGGCACACATGTTTGTTGAGCAGGTCCTCAGTACAGAAACTATTACAAGAGGTTGCCAAGAGATCCCGAGCCTATTAACAGCAGAATTGTTGAACAAGGCAGTAGGCCCTAAATCCTCTTCTTTGGGGTCTCTGGGGGTGGGGTATATGATAGTGCTCTATGCCATGAAAAGCACCTTTCTGGCCTCCTTGCTGGGCTTTTACATAGCTGTGTGAATTTCTGCCATAGTCTGCTGTTTATAGCTGACCATTTCCTGGGAGACAGATGGGAAATACTTCCGTGAAGACCAATTTCATAGCATTTCGAAACACTTTAAGCTCTTTACCTGCTGTGGCAGAGTACTGCAATTGACTAAGCTCAAGAGAAAAGAAAGCAAGGCTTTCCCTCAAGTGCAGCTTTCCTGCTGATGAGTCACTGTGGAAGAGCACCGCTTGGGAAGCACACACGGCCTCAAGAGCAGCTGCGGGCTGTGTGGAGCCGCTGCTGAGTCAGTGCTCCCTGGGACAGTGGGCTAGCCGCAGCTTGGGTGAGCAAATCTTAAAAACAGATGTGTTGGTCTGAGTGTGCAGGTCACTGATTCACTAGTGCATATTCTAAGTGACTTCTTAAGCCTCCTGAATATTGAGCTGTCCTGGAAAATTAGAGAACACAGAAAGGAGTTGCGGCTGTGGTCATTTCAGGAGACTTGATTATTAAGTCGTGCATTACAGTCGTCAAATGCGGCCCAAAGAGGCAGGATTGGTTATAGTATTAAAAGGCACAGTGGAGAATGAAAAGGCAGGATCCCTGATCAAAAATTACTATGAATTTCAAGATGGTGACAGCAGAGCATTAAAGCAAGTGACTACACAGCTGTGTACCTCGCTGTCCCTCTCAGGCACCCCAGGAAGCCGTTCTTTGAATAAGAGCAGTGTGAATGGTGTCTGGTAGGTTGCATTAAAAAATGTGCTGGGTTGCCTAGCAACCGGCTAAGGACCTAAGGGCTGACTCGCAGGTTGAGAGACGCCATCTTGAAAGCCTGAATTCGTGGCAGCCTTCTGAATAGGTGGGCCGATAATTTTCGAAGAAAAGTCACAAGGGGAGATGGAAATGGGGGATAAGGAGGGACACATTTTTCTGCTCTTAGAATCCAGGTAGCTAATTTGTCATTTTCCCTGTTCAGTTTTCTAGGACTAAAACTCCAATTGAAGTAAAAGTGAAGAAGAAATTGCAGTTTTCTCAGAAACAGAAGTAATGCTTTTCCTTAGAGGATAGTGAAAATAGGAATTAATCAATAAGTTGTTGAGCATACTCATTTAAAAAGTCAAGGGTCTAGTATAAGAAAAGGGATTCATATTCACTAAGCATTTAATAACAAGTGCCTGCTATGGTGTAGATTACAGAGATGAATAAGAGAGGGTTTATTCCTAAGGAATTTAAGAGTATGCATGGGCTTAAGGTAATACACAAGGAACAATTAAACAGCAGTGTTACCCATTAAAAGAACAGAATCGATCATTTCCTGTCCTTCTCTCCTTTGTATTTTGCAGGGTCCTTGTGCTGCAGAATCAGAGCCAGCCCTTTTGCTGGGGAGCAAGCAGTTTGGGCTCTCGAGAAATAGTCACATTGCAATTGCATTTGATGACACCAAAGTTAAAAACCGGTATGTGATATTCAATGATGCCACCCAAGAATGGGTAAATGAAATGCTGAGCATTCACGTGTAATAGAAGTTAAAGGGTCGCATTTGTTAATTAGCGAAGTAAGGGTTGATTATGCATTTATTTTAATTCACTGAGTGGGATAGAAAATAGAACTGTATTTGTCTGGCCCTCAAGAGCCCAGTAGAAGAAATCCACTCCTTTATGAAAATGCACCCTCACATGACATCAGGCTGTCTTAGCGGAAGCATCCTCTTATTTCTCTCTTTCCCTTTGTGTGCTGATATTTCACAGCCTCACAATTGAGTTGGAAGTGCGAACTGAGGCCGAGTCAGGCTTGCTTTTTTACATGGCCCGGATCAATCATGCTGACTTTGCTACTGTTCAGCTGAGAGACGGACAGCCTCACTTCCGCTACGACCTGGGGAGTGGGGACACCAGCACTATGATCCCCGCCAAAATCAACGATGGCCAGTGGCACAAGGTAACGGTCCCTGGGGGTGTCCTCAGCATCCTAAGGAGGGCTTCCGGTGGTGACCCCAAGTGTCTGCACCGTGGCGCCAGAGTAGGCTCTCCTGCTGCTGCTGCTGCTGCTGAAATGTGACAGAGGCTGAAATCATAGCCAGCACCATATACAACAGCTATGACCTTGGAAAATGTGATCAGGTCTAGCTGGGGTGCATTTGGCTGTTTACACAGTACTACAGGGTTCTATCATTGTCAGACAGATGCGCTTCCCCAACATCTGCCTGCAAACGAGGGCCAGGCAGTGGAAGACATTGCCAGCACTCCGAGTGAGTGCGGTGGAACTGCAGAGTAGGAAATCGTAAAACTCTGGGTATTCAGGTTACGGGAATATTTATTATTTGATCATGTGTTCTATATTCAGGCTGCTTTTGGATTCTCTTTAAGGAAATAATATTGGGCAAAAGGAAAGTTTGGCAGGACTAAGATGAGCCCCGACCCCCCCCCCAGCCCTGCGTACTGAGCACCAAGACTCTGGGAAGCACTGCAATATCATGTTTAAAGGGCTCCGAGGTACCATTTCCGCCAACAGTCATTTGGAACAACTTTAAAACGTTGGCCTTCCACCCAGAAAGCGGTGATGTTATGGGCACGGAAGGCTCATTTGCCAGCTTCCTGTCCTGCCTGGCATGACTGCAAATAGATAATATACTGCCTGATTAAAACAAAACCTGAAATTTGTCTCTGCACCTGTGATAGACTATTAAGTAAAGTTTCCCTAGGCAGCCCAATAAAACGTTTAATTTTCGGAGGAGGTTATTATTAGATGCTGGATTTGATGTACTAACCTACTTCAACTTGGCCTACCCTATAGAAAGAAGCCAAAAAATCTGGGAAAAAAAAAAATACAGTGCACACTCCAAGGCAACCCATTTATTACCTTGGAAATAGAAATGGAGTCTTCGTATGTACTTGGGAGCTTAGGACTATGAAGAACCGATCTCAGCAAAGGCACACTCCTCGCATTAAGCTTTATTCTTATCTCTGGCCAGCGGGATAATGAATGTGACACTTGAGCACAAGACACATTATCAGGCCTCAGTGAGGCTGTGATTAAGAAAAGGAACATTCATACAATAATTAGCCAAATTCGGGATGGCTTTTATTTCCAAAAGTTTTTAAAAATCACTTTCCAAGTGAGGCATAGAGTACAGTGAGGCGTTAATGACTGGAGCCCTGAGGCAGACCTCTTTTGAGACCATCATTGGGGTCTAGTGTCTTCCAGGCCTTCATGCTTTTTCTGCTGAATTGAGGCACAAGGATTTTATGCTCAACCCCATCCTCACACTCCTCCTTTCCCTTCATTCTGGATGATAATCCACTCTGCTGCTGTAATTTGGCATCAGTCAGGTGTCCATCTCCCTTTCTGGCTTTGAACTAATTGGCTGCTGTGGAAACACCCTGCTCCCTTCCCCTTCCTGCTCCCGTTCTGCCTGGGGAGGGCCAGTCAGGCATGAGCGATGCAGTGCTGTTGAGGTTGTGCTTGCAGCGCAGGCTGGGCTCAGCCAAGCTAAGCATTCTTAAGAGGAAACGCGCATTTTGCACTCCGTTTAGCTTCTGGCAGGCCCATCAGCCCACAAATGTCCTTGTGGCTTGTCTCAGGAGAGAGACATAAGAGAGTCTCTGGAAGCAACTTCACCCTAAAGCCTACCCCTAAGAAAGTGGATTCTTTTGCAGGTGGTAGTCACAGAGAACACAAACTTTGAAACGTTGGTGCACTAGGTTTACTTTCACTTGTATTATGGGCTTAGCCCATCAGCAATTTATACTGGTCTTTGGGATATCATACAAGTTCTTGTAGCTTTTATTCTGCATATTTGAAATTTGTTTATGATTAGAATGAATGTCTTCTCTTCATTTTTCAGATTAAGATTATGAGAAATAAGCAAGAGGGAATTCTTTATGTAGACGATGCCTCCAACAGAACCACCAGTCCCAAGAAGGCCGACATCCTGGACGTGGTGGGAATGCTGTATGTTGGAGGGTTACCTGTCAACTACACGACTCGAAGAATTGGTCCAGTAAGGGTCTCTTTTTACTCTTCAGCTAAATATTTAGCTGAGCCATTTATTGGTGTACTTATTTTTTAGTTATTAAATCAGTGGGCTCATGGTCACTTATGTAAGCAAGAAATCATCTATTCTGAGAAATGACAAAAAGTTTTTTTAGGAAGATTCAACTAGGACACTAAATGAAGTACAAACCTTGCAATGCTGGATTGAATATCTGCATAAGTACTCACAGGCTGTGTTGACATTGATTAAATTACTTCATCTTTCTTTGACAAAGTCCCCTCCTTTACAACATAGGTCGTGATAATATCAGACCAGCTGTAAAGATTAAGCAAGGTAGTATGTCTAAAGAGCTCAGAAAGGCAAAAGACACATAGAAAGCACTTACGGATGATAATTGATATTACTGCTGTCATTTCATGACTAGAGATTTGGCAACGATTGAGAGAGGCAGTGGTTAAAGGACTCCTATACAATTTCAGGTCCAGAATTTAAAGTCCTTACAATATTTTAAATCAATGTTCACAAAATAATTATTTGTCAGACTACCTGGCCTGGCTTACTTTGAAAGATGTTGATTTGGAAAACACAGATAATTCGTGTTTTTAGAGCACGAGATACAAATATGATGTGTTAAATTTGTATTCTCATGTTAGGGCATGTGATAATGTGGACTGGTTCATTCATCAAAGACAACTTCCCATGATGGTTATAATGTTTAGGTTTTGGCTTCCTTTCATGGCTAGTGGATATGCTACCTCGATCTATCAAAAATGAATGTCTAACATGACATCACCAGAAGTGAATAACTTGAATTCCTAAAGCCAGATGAAATATAATGGAGCAGAGTATGACTGAATTACTTCTAAATTCCTCGAGCCCCATATGTTTTATGCAGACTTTGTGTGTTTTCTTGGGGAAGAGCCCACTGCTTTCATTAGATTTTCAAAAGGAAAAATCACTGAACCATCCCTAATTATCCCCTCAAATAGAAATGGAACATAATGCCGAACAAAGTTTATATATAGTAGGGTTAATAAATTATTAATAGAAACATAAAATCAGGAACTTAAAAGACTCAATCAAAATGATGAGGCCCATCTGGAGTCCACAGCTCTGCTCAACAAATCAGTACACATTGGACAATGCAGTACCTAGGGTATCCGATGATCAGGTTCCTGTCTGCATGCATCCAACTCAAGAGGCACAACACAGGATTTTGGGTACCCATGCTATGGAGTCTAGAAGCCAGTGGAACAGACCCAGGTGGTGTTGAGGGATTTCTGAGACAACTGGCTCATGGTTCCATGCGTAGAGCACCTTGGAGATGTTTAAGTTGCATAAAGGCGAAGTTCAGCTAAAACTTGCCATTTGGCCCATTGACCAAATATTTAGGTGACCTACAGCATTGATGGCTGCATAAGGAGCCTGCGCATGGAAGAGGCCCCTGTTGATATTGAACAGCCGACCTCCAGCTTCCACGTGGGGACCTGTTTTGTGAATTCCCAGAGAGGAGCCTACTTTGATGGAACAGGCTTTGCCAGAGCAGGTGAGGCTCTTGTGTTTCTTCCTGTTGGCTGTCACCTGTGCACAGATCCTAAACTCTTGCCTATACCAAAAACTAAAAAGCTCAGAGTTCTAAACTAGTATCCTTTATTTAAATCAGAAATGAGCTCCTAGAAGTAATAAAGTTGTCTTATAAAATTCAAGTATTTTGATTCGGATGATAAATAAGAAAGTAAAAAGCTCTTTGGAGAGTTTATCCCACCTCCTCAATAGAGGTCAGTAACATCAAAACAAATGTAACTCTCCAAGAAGGCTCACATGTTTGTATTATAATTTTTTTCTAGTGTCCAGTTTTCTCAGGCTACCTTCCTGAGTATAAGATACCATCATGCTTTCTACCTCTTCAGTTCCTTTCAAAGACCTATTTCATCATACACACACACACACACACACACACACACACACACACACACACACTCTGCATGTGTACTGGTGCCAGTTTCTTATGGATAGTGATAGTGGAAGATGAGTTTACCTGGCTTTATTCCCCCCACCCTATTTCCAGTGTAGGTAGGGATCACTGGTCATGCATATACAGTTTGGAAAGACAAATTGGAACAAACTTTGCCCAACAACAACAAAATCTGACATTAACAAACTTTAAGATAAAATATCTAACGGTATAACTTTCATAGATGTTTGTATATGTTCACTAGAAAAACAGTTAATAAGCATATAATATGCAGAAGTTACTATGGGAAACAGAGACATAAATAAGATGGAGTGGGTTGCTGGAAAATATATGCTTGGACAGGTAGAGTGGTATACATTGTAATCCCAGGTACTGAGGAGGTTGTGTCAAGAGGACGACAAGTTCAAGGCCACCTGGGCAACAGAGCAGGGCTGTGTCCCAAAATAAAATGCAAAGAACTAAGGATATAGACCAATGCTCCCAGTATCCAATTCCCAGTACAACAGATGATAGATAGATAGATGATAGATAGGTAGGTAGATAATAAATAAGAGAATCAATTTCTTAGAAGTCCCAAGATGCAGATAAAACTTATTAAAAGCTATAAAATGCATTTGAGCAATGTTTTATAGATATTTAGAAGACTAATTTTGGTTGCAAAATCATAAAAGATTTTGCAAAAAAACTGATATTTGAGCAAAGATTTAAAATATAACTGAAAGACTCTTGTAGAAAATTGAGATGACTCAACAGGATCTACATGGGAGACCTGACCCATGCAAGAGGAGACCTAAGAAAAGCACAGGATATTTTCATCGTTTAAACTCGGAAGTTATACTGAGCCCCAGATGTCATGCGCTGTAAAAGCCCAAAGTCTTCCCCAAGGCTTGTGCAAACCCGTGGATGGCTGGCATTTTCTTAGTCAAATCTGACGCCAAGCTTTGACCTCCACTGCTGTAGCTGTGGACTGACCTGCCACGCTCCCTGTGTCTTGGGGATTTGAATCGATTCTTGCCCAGTTTCCAATAACTCCTGACACCTTCTTAACAGTAGCACAGCTGACGTAAGACATGGGTTTTCAGAGCTTACTTCAGTGGAAAATACACTTCAAGTTAACCGTCGACATGATTGCTGTTAAAAGCTTTCAGACACCCAACTGTGAGACCTTCCATTGGCCTCTCCATTCCTGCGTCCTCAGCCGAACTGTCTCATACCACTTCTCCTTCTCCCTCCACTAATTTTGCAGAACAGTTCAGCTTCTTGTACCCTTTAAAAAATCTTCTCTAAGCCCACCTTTGCCCATCCAAACCCATCAAGATTCTCAGTAGAACAAAGTTGTTCACATAGCCGGTACCACTGTTCAATGGAAGCAATTGTGGTTACACATAACATTTATTTTCTCCCCAAGAAATAGCAAACAAGAACACTTATGTGAACTCTTTTCTAACACTCCACATAGTTCATGTGGTCTGGACTGGTCTCAATAAGTTACTTTGTTCATGAAAGAAATACCCAAAACACTTGTTAAAAGGTTAATTAAATCAATGAATCAAAAATGGAAAATTATAGAAAAAAAGAATTAACTAGATATTCCCGAAAAGTTTATTTGTGTCCCAGAATCTTCCCATAAAAATTTTATTTGCCATTCCTCTTTATTAATAAAATATTTAGAAACCTTTGAACCATTTCAGATCAATGAGACACCATTTGGAGTGTCTTAATAAAATTTTATAAATAACCACCAAAATGTTTTACTTCATCTAACAAAGAACTTTAATCTTACTTGGCTTTGAGGTTCTTTGAGTCAACCTCAGGGTGCGTTTATTCATTAATCCTACAAATATCTGTACAACCTTCAGGGTGTGCCAGATATTCTGATGAGTGTAGGAATAAAATGCTGAACAAAACAAAGTTCCTGCCCTCACAGAATTTATAGTCTAGAAGGGAAGGCATCCAGGAAAATCAGCAGCAGCCGTAAAATATTCTACTGGCACCACAGTGGAAGAGTAGAGATTTGGGTGCCTAGAAAGTACAGTTTTCATCAGTACTGGTTACCATGAACTGAAATTTAACATAGCCACCGCATCACACAGCTTTAAATTGATCATTGCCACACTCTAATATATCTATATATTTTTAAATCTCCATTTTACAGTTGGTGGATTTAAAGTGGGATTGGACCTTCTCGTGGAATTTGAATTCCGCACAACCAGAACCACGGGGGTTCTGCTAGGGATCAGCAGTCAGAAAATGGACGGGCTGGGCCTGGAGATGGTCGATGGAAAGGTGAGCGCCCGCATCAGACAGCTCTGATTCCTTCGTGATGGCGTTCTTTTCAAAGTAGAAAAAAATGTGTTTTGAAGTCTTGTTTTTTGGTTAGGAAAAAAAAAAGTTAGATCTCGTCTTTCCATTGTTTTGGAATTTCTCAAGTTGGGCGTATTTCCATCACCCTTATCCCTGAACCTGCGTACCCTGGCAGTGTGCTTCCCCTGCAGCACGGCGCTCGGATCGATCCATAATGGACCAAATGGCTTGCGGCCTTCAGCTCTTCCTGTCTTGCTCCTGGTACAGTTACTTTGCGCTTTACCAACGTGCAATCTGGGAAGTTGTTCATTCCAGGGAAAGAAAAGGAAGACTTAGATGCTATAAAGCCAGTCTGTCCACAGTGCTCTAGTTAAGAAATGATATATATATTTTTTTTTTTGGAAACTCCTTATCTTTGAAAGAAAAACTGTACTGAGTGAGCAATACCTCTTCTTTGAACTAATGTGTGTGCGTGTGTGTGTGTGTGTGTGCTCGCGCTGTGGTTTCTTAATTTATGAATGTGTCTTCTTTCTGAATTACCCTTAAGGAAGGACACTGAGCACATACCATGCCTGAGTCAAGGGAATGAAAGGGGCTGTCCAGGTGGTGACAGTGCTGAGGAGGTGTCCCAGGCCTTCTCATGCATGTGGGTACAGGGCTAGCATTGTGCACCACAGATATGACAAAAGATAGAGCTCAGATCTTGTTCTGAGAGTTCAGTACAGATGTTGGCAAGTACTGCTGAGGGAAAATATGGCTGCATTCAGAACAGCAGTGAATGAGTTGAGTGGTGTAGGTGCCTGGAATAGCTCTGTGCTCACGCTGTCAGACCAATGACCACTGAGAAGGATACTTTCTTAAGTGATGTTCTCTAACAAGCCGAACAGGAGTCCTTTGCCAGATGTGAAGCTCTTGTGGCCTTAAGTAGGGAAGTCCACATGCCAAAAAAGAAATGGATAACAAGTTGTGGGAACAGTGGGAACTTCTAAATTTTTGAAATCTCTCATTCTTAGTCATCAGTAAACAGTATGAAGGGCTGGCCAAATAGCTCAGCAGATTAAAGCATCTGCAATCAGGCCCAGGGACTGGGGGTTCAATCCCTGGACCTGTTGTGCTGGCTCCACCCCTGGGGAGTGCTGAGACGGCAATTGAGACTGGGCATGGTGGTGCACACCTGTAATCCCAGCTCTTGGGAGGCTATAAACAGGCAGCTCACTACAAGTCTGATGTAGCAGTGAGACCCTGAATGTCCTATAGACCCTTCCCTAAAATACAGAAAAAATAAATAAAGAAATAAACAGTATGAGACATGTTTGGATAAATTATAATATAATATATATCAATCTGGTGCTGCTAACAGGTTGAGCATCTCAGGAGACATAGTGGCCTCTCAATTTTTATTTAAAAGCATTGAAACATTTTCTTAAAGCAGCGAGCTTATGAAAGCGTTTTGTTTATAATAAGCAGTCTAGTTCCGAGCACTCCTCCAGTTCCAGCCTTCGTGCGCACAGCAGCCTCTGGTGAAATGACCTGTGGACATGCATCGGGGCTGCACACAGCAGGCGAAGCATGGAGGCGAAGAGGGGCACTCACAGGTTTCCTCCCTGGCAGTCAACGGGGAGCCGCACTACACGCTGCTCCTGTGTCCACCCTGAGGGTGCGGTTGCCTCCCAAGGAGAAAAACGCAGCCACCTCCATGTGCTTCCCGTGCCTTTCCTTCTTGGGGGTTCAGAGTGGCCTCAAAGATAACGTAGAAAAATCACTCTAGGACCTTCTGGGGGAGGAGAGTGAACAAATAAGATACACTTCATGCTTTTCTCAAATCTTCAGTACACCTTTTCAAGTAAGCTTCCTTTCTTTTCTTTTTTTAAAAAAAGACACTTTTATTTATTTATTTATTTAATTTATTTATTTATTTATTTTTTTGCGGAACCGGGGATTGAACTCAGGCCCTTGCGCTTGCCAAGGAAGTGCTTATTCCACTGAGCCATCTCCTCGGCCCCAAGCTTCCTTTCTTCACCTGCTTATCACCATAGTTGTTATGACCATGTCATTCTGTCCCACAGTTTCGCATCAAGCCTCTTCTGCCTGCAAAATCCTGTTATGAACCCAACTCAGGGCACTAAACTCTTCCCTACTATTTACACCACTATGTGTAGAAGTGCAAATGAAGAAGTGAAATGTTAATAAAATATACCTGTTTATTCACTCTTCTAATGATTTTTTTTTTGTAAATGTATTTAGTACAGGGTCTCACTGTGCAGTTTGAACTCATAGTGGTCCTCCTGTTTTCAGCCTCCTCAGCTCTGGGATTACAGGCGCATGCCACCGTGCCTGATCTCAGTGGCTGGCTCAACGTGCCTGGGGGCAGGGCCAGCACAGCATGTGGTGCCAGGGATCAAACCCCAGTCCCTGCACTTGCCTAAACAGGCATTTAGTCTGCTTAGCTGTCTTGCCAGCCCTCTAATCATCATTAAAAACTTCCTTTTTTAACCTTTCAAATTTGTTGCCAAATTTACTAATGTTTTTAATATTTTAGTGTTTCTTTTCTTCATCAATTTCAAAAGAATTCTAGCATGTCAAATTTCAGGAGCCTTTCCATAGTACTAAAAACAGATTTTTCTAATTTACAGGAGGACTTCTATTCATACTTCTTCACTATTAGGGTTTTAACTGGCCTCTGGCTTGGGTCTTTGGCACTTATGACATGAAACACTCCCTGAACAGTAACTTGTGGAACTCACAATCTTGATGTAAAATGGAATCTAGTAAGAAAAAAATACAATTAAATCATCATTTTACATTTTAAAAATTCCATAGAGTTTATAAACCAAGCTAACAAATCACTTTAAATAACATTTTTTTTCTAAAAGTTTTATAAGTTTCACCGAGAGCTCTCACACTCTACAAAGATAGGTGGTGGAATTTTGCTGTGCATATTAGGCTCTTTTCTTTCTGTTACCTAACGAGATTTTTTTGAAAACAGAATCAGCTTTATATGCCTTGCATATTCATACAAACAATGGCTCAAAATAAAGAACATAATCTGTGACTCTCAGTGATTAGATTTAAATTTTAATTTATGTCAAGTTTTCTTTTGAAAAAATTTAATATGCTCAGTTATACTCACTTCAAATGACTCCAGCTGATTTCTCTGCCTGGCGCGCTGGTAATTTTTATTATGTAAACTATCATGACAGTCCTCTAGTGAAACCATCTGTGATGGTGCAATTTCCTCCCTTCCAGCTCATGTTTCACGTGGACAATGGCGCCGGCCGTTTCACTGCAGTCTATGATGCTGGCGTCCCGGGGCATTTGTGTGACGGGCAGTGGCATAAAGTCACTGCCAACAAGGTCAAGCACCGCCTTGAGCTCACGGTCGATGGGAACCAGGTGCAGGCCCAGAGCCCCAACCCAGCCTCTACATCAGCCGATACCAATGACCCTGTGTTTGTTGGAGGTTTCCCGGGTAAGTGTTGGCCTCTGCAGCATGATGTTCATCGCTGGTTATGTTTGTGATTTGGAAGCAGGCCCAAGCGTGTGTGCTTACCTGTACTTGCCTCCTCACTGTAGAATCTCCTCTCATAAATAACAGTTTGCCTAAAATTTCCCAGTCTGTGAAGTGAGTGAACTGCTTATACAAACCACATGGGACTGAATCATTCATGCTAGCCTGCAAGTTCTTATCCACAGGAAGGAGAAGGCTACAGGAAATGCACATGGCTTACACAAGATGTGAGGCATTAAACAGCCAGTGAGGCTGGAGCTGGGGGTTTTTCTGATTTTTTTAAATGAATATACCAGAGTGATCATAAAGTTTTGTGGAACTTATTTCCTCCAGCTCTGGAAATCATTGGGTTAAATGTAGCTAATTTCCTTCTTACATCAGTAAATACTTTATATTACAAAAAAAAAAAAGCCAAGTAATAAACCTGCATTCAAAATCCCCTCCCACATATGAATAGCACACAAACCAGAGAGTTACCCAAAGCGCCCATAAACTGGGTAGCCACCAACTGGAGAAGAGACAAGCCCAGTGCTTCTTAATAAGGACCGCGGAGCACACACACTGGGACTGGCCTTTCCTCATTTTGGTGAAAGGAACCTCCATCTTTGAGCAGAGCTGTTCTGCTTAACCACATGACTGCAGCGTGGTGGACTCTGCAGTGGCGACAGAGCAGTAGAGAAGTGCTGAGCGGAATGGAGACAGTTTCCAAAGTCGCTTCTGGACTTGGAAAAGTCCTCCTTCTTCAACCAGGAGAAGCCTCCTGGACATGGTGAAGGAGGCAGCGTACCACTCACCCCTTGCCGATGTGCAGGATGAGGCCCTGGTCAGCACCTCATGCCTGCTGACAGGCGACTCCTGCACAAAGCAAGGAAATTTTCCAACCAATTCAACATTTTTGGATTTAGTTTTTCACTGTAAGGAAGTCAAAGTCACTTAAAATCTTAAGTCCTAATTCAACATCTGAAGCATTTTATCAATAGCCTTGCTGCACTAAATATAATTTTATAGTTTTAAGTTATAGTTTCAAATATGTTCATTCTCAACCAAATTATCTGTTTGATCTTACTGTTCATATAAGTTCCATAGGGTTCCACATTTCATAATTATTAAAACTGTAGAGGGCCAACCAAATAGCTCAGTGGATTAAAACACCTGCAAGCAGTTACAGGGACCAGGGGTTCGATCCCCCAGCCTGCCACCCCCCAACACCCCCAGGGCATGCTGAGGTGGCAATTGAGACTGGGCGTGGTGGTGCACGCCTGTAATCCCAGCTCTTGGGAGGCTGCAAACAGGTGGATCACTATACGTCTGATCTAGTAGTAAGACCCTGAACAGGCTGTAGATCCTTCCCAAAAATGCAAAATTTAAAAAAAAAAAAAAAAAAAAAAAAAAGCTTTGGCATTTTGCTACAAGTCTGTTAGTAAAACTGAAAACAAAATCCCTAACTTTATATAAGAGAGTATTCCAGTTTAGCCTGAATGTAACACCTGGCTGTGAAATGCGCTCTTAACATTTCATACAACAGCATTTCAAAACCAAGCCCTCCAGAGTGCAGGATAGCTCAGGGGTAGAACGCTTGCCTGGGAAGCAGGAGGCCCTGACCTCTCACTTTGTCTTTTCAGATGGCCTCAAGCAGTTTGGCCTGACCACCAGCGTCAGATTCCGAGGCTGCATCCGATCCCTGAAGCTCACCAAAGGCACAGGCAAACCGCTGGAGATTAACTTTGCCAAGGCCCTGGAACTAAAGGGTGTTCAACCTGTATCGTGCCCAGCCAACTAATCAAACACTTAATTCCAGATGAGTCCATGAAAGGAAGTAGATCACTTAGAATAAATATGCTTTGCCTATGTATTTTAATGAAACTAATTTGTGCACGTATGTAGAACTCTTTCTATATTCAGGTAGTGTTAATTCAGATCCTGGTTGACTTTTAATTCAAATTTTTTCTTCAGTTTATGAATATTAAACCAATTATTCTAAACAATGGCTTGTTTTGTTGATTTTAAGGATTAAAAAATTGTAAATGATCAAATTTGCAATATTCCATGGGGTCATCTCGAGCTCAGAAAAATGTGAGGGCAACTGTTTTCAAACTTGCTCCTACTAATACTTTGATCATTCTTTTCCATGAATGTTGGCTTTAGCTTTCGGTCCAAGCCACAGAAAACAAGTGGATTTGGCATATGTGGCTGGGAGGAAATCACCCTATGTTTGTAAAAGCATTAGCAAATCATTTCCTTGATCCAAGTTCATTATTTGAGAGTTTAACTGTCTGTAGGAGTGAATACTATTTTATGCTGAAGGTGGCTAGTATAGATCAGATTCAGGCCAGAGAGCTTAATTACTTGGTTTTCTTGTTTAATAATGATTTATAGGCTTTGGGGAGATTCTAGAACCAAGCTGCAGAATGACAATTAAGCACACATCTGATACTACACGTCAGGCTTCAGGCTCTCAGATAGTGAATTTCAGCATCTGTGCCACCAGAGAGGAATCTTGCTGAAATGTGTTTTTTATTTACCAGGACCCAGGCCACCAGAAATTTTGAAGGTGCACTTCACCGAGTCTTCCTGAGTTCTAATTTGGCCTGCCAAATTCCTCTCCTGAAATTATACCATTTTGCTCATCTTTTGTTATTTCAGTCATCTCCCAAGCAGTCTATGGCCTAGATTGTATTCATCAACTTAAGAATGAAACATTTTATTTGCCATCTTCAGAAGAAATGATCAGAAGCTAGTACTGTAGAATATTTCAAAGGACAGTTGACTTCCCTTGCTATGGAAATTTTTGGGAAAGGGAAATAATCTTCTAGCTCGGTGATCTCCAGTGGGGGGAAGGAGGAGCGAGTTCCCATCTGGACGCTGGCCAACGCATTCTTGCTGTCTCTCCACTGGCCAGCCACTCAACCCAGCTTGTCCACACAACTCCATGCTAGGCCCAGGAATTCCCATTGTTGACTCACATTTTCAGAAAATTGCTGAGAAATTTAAAAAGAGAAAAAAAAGAAGAGCTACTTGTTGTTCCTGATGTAGCCATTCTAATTTGGATGAGCTGTAGCCTGGCCATGAGGCTACAGAGCCTTCCTAAGCAGTTCTAACATGATATTATCAACAATGGAATGTACTATTTTAAAGAGAAAAATTATCTGCCAGATGGAACATTTTTATAGTCATCTGATAATCCTATTGTTAGCTTTATCTTGACCATTTCCACACATATAAAATATATTGAAGGATAGTGAGTCTTTACTCAACCTCTGACCAATAAAACTATTTGAAAACCAATGCGATTTGCATGTGAAACCATTACTTCCGTAATGAACCCTACCATAATTTTAGGCATTTACTGTAGATATTGAATTGGGTAATCAATGTTAGGGTGCTGGGTGACTTAAATTACAGAATGTCTTTCTTGAACCTTTCACAGAGACATACATAAATTTGAAAGCAAAGATACTTAATGGTTCCGTGTATTGGAGACAATGCCTGCAGACATCAATTTGTAGATAAATGCCTTGGAATGGGACAGTTAGAAGCAGTCTTTGTGACCAGTAAATACAGTGATATTTAACTCTAGCCAGACTTGTAAGCTTAAAATAACTTCTAAATCTGGTTGTCACCGAAGACCCATTGCACTATAATCCAAATTCCTGACACTGGAATTTTCTAAAGATCCCCATGAGAAGTGTGAAAACTTCTGGGGTCCTTCACCCCCATTGGTTGTGAGAAAGGACTGAAAGGACCTGGGGGGCCTTGGGAGTGAACAAAGTCCCACATACGTCTACCAGCATGGGCCCAAGCAAGCTGCCCCAGGCCCCAAGCAGAATTGACTGAGTCAGGCTGGGAGTCAGTCCAGTGTGTACCGTGAGGTGGCACCAACCCAGCTTGCCTACACTTTAAAATGAAAAATGAGGAAACCATGAAAGGGCAAATTTTCTTTGGCGTATTTTAAATTAATTTCCTACCTCTAAAATCAAGTTAATTGTATCCCAAAACAAAGTGAAACATTTTCTTCCCCCAACCTCTGTCTTCTCTGTGATTTCCGCTGCTCCTGCCACCCACAGCAATCATAAAAAGGCAGAATCCTTTTCATTTATTTTCCAAATACCCACTCCTACCCAGTTGTCAGCCTTCTTCTTTGAACAGGAGCTTGGCGCTTGGGAAGGAAAGCATTCGCGAGAGGACTTTTATTAAAGTTACCATGGTGAACACCGCTGACAAAGAAAAACAAAGGAGAGCAGACTTCAGCACCAAAATCACCAGAACCCTGACAGGCACTCAAGGCTTCCATTAGCAGCACTTTAAAATTGTAACTATTTCCTCCTCCTTGCGGTGTAGGTCTTATCTCCAACTGCAAAGCCCTTCTAGCTCTTCTGCTTAACAAAGTAAAAATGACTTTGACAAATTAAAACTTTCTTGATGTTACGCGGATTATTGACTGAATTATTCTATGTATAAAATTGAAAAATAGGAATAACACCATAGTTAGTTTTTACAAGTATCAAGTCGAGTCTTTCTTACTGTTATCGACAGCTGAGTTAGGTGGAAATAACAGTGCAGTCAGAGAGGGACTGGGCTCTCAAGGAAGCCAGCAGGAAAAATAAAGCCCTCAGAACTCTGCCCGGAGGCACCTCTGAAGAAAGTCTAGCTTGAAGATAAAGATGCAATGGCCAGGCCTACATCTCTCCCTGAGATATCAATGATAACTTGAAATTATATTGTGTTAGCACCAGCTAGTCCAGTGGGCTCAGGAGGGTATCAGTCATGCAGACAGGTGAGCATCTAGACCCATCCCTCCCCAAAATGTTTGTGTTAGAAGCCATAGAATGACGTACCAATATACCCTTGCGTGTGACAGCCTTCCCTAATGGGTCAGTAATAGCTACGTGGTTTTACTTGTAATCCTGTAGTTTGACTACAGTTTTAATCCTATGGGTGGACCCACATTGAATCTTCACTGTGACTTGGCTATATAAATTACCCCTGATGAAGGGCTTCTGTGGCCACCCATTTTCGGAACCCTCCTATCTTTCTGAAGCTATCTTTCAGTCAACCTTTCCTACTCTTAACCTCCGCTGTTCTTTGGAGTGTATTCTTCAATGTGGGGGGACATGAACTCCACACACCTGACATCTAGTCGAGAGTTAGATTTCTCCTGTATCATAACGGTGCTCATCAGAGAGGATACGGAAGGCATCGCAGGAGCCCGGGGGAGTAAGTGGTGTAGACTTGTGTGGAAGAGAAAGCTCAGGATTTCATCTTAGACCTGTTGAATTTAAAACTGTCCATTGGGTACGTAAGTGCATTGCAGTGTTAGGCAGCTGGAATTAGGAAGAAGATTTGAACCATATGGACAAATATGGAAGTCATCAGAGTCTTGTTACTACATGCACAATAGACTTTGGGGAGGTCTCAGAGAGCCCCAACGCACTCCTGTGTATGGAGCAGGGTTGTCAGAAAATTATTCAGAATCTGATACCGGGCCCAAGAAATGTTCTTCCTCAGTAGCCCTGGGCTTGACTCAGTATTGACCAGGCTATTGTACAATTCCAGGAGCAAAGGTTATTGTGTTGATTTTAGTCTGGGAGAGATGGAAATAAGTGCTGTCTGGTGGAACAGAAGACCCCAGCAGTAATAAATTTTATCCAAACTAAAGCCTTCACCTAATATATCTTAATGAATTTAAACATGTCCACCAGTAAAACTTCTCCAGTTGCTAGAGGTGTACCAATGTATTTTTGTCTCCCTAACTAATCAATGAGTTGAATGAAATCTTTGACACATGCATGCATTACACTTGCCTGACAGCCATACATTTTTAAGCTTTGAAAACTATACTTTCACAGAGGACAAAGTAAAAAAGGGCCATCAGTTGAATATACCCAGGCTAATTAATTCAAAATTTAAAAAGAGTTCACACAATTTTTGAACTTTGTGATTGAATATTCTCAATTCCCTAATCCTGTGTTTCCACTTCTGTATTTTTTCTGAAGCAAATATTCTTTAAAATATTGCTCTGATGAAAAACAGAAAAGAAAGTTACTTTCATGTTAGGGGAAAGCTTGAGAAGAGAATTATGGTTTTTTTTAAATTTCATTTTGTAGCAATCAATCTTTCCTGCTTGATCAGTTCCAGCTTTTGTGCTCACACACACACATACGCACACATGCGTGTGCACGCGCGCGCACACACACACACACACACACATGGTCTGAACCAAACTGTTTAGTACTGCAGGGATCCAGAATAGGTGATTTCTAGCACGATGCACTTTACAGAAGTGTGGCCCATAATGTACAGTGACAAACACGTGGAGGCAATTTTAAGTCATTTTGTTACCTTTGAATGACAGAAGACAACACAATGATGTCAAGTTAAATAATCAATAAGCATATTACTTAAGATCATTTAATATAATCCATGCAGATAATATTTTAATAATTGCATGACCTTGCATAAAACTGAATTAAAGTTATAGAGTATTACAAATCATGAAAGAAATAACTGAGCAAACGTTCCCCAAGTTGGGAGAGCAGGTTTTGAACTGACGGACTTAAAATGCAGTGTTACGCGGCCAGAGAGATGGCTCAGTAGAATAGGCATGTCCCTGGCAAGCACAAGGGCCTGAGTTCAATCTCAGTTCTGAAAAAAAAAAAAAAAAAGCACCTTAAAACGCAGCGTTCTGGACTGCGCCGTTGACTGCCGGGGAAAAAGACACACTGCACGTATGAAGACACGGTTTCCAGGAGAAAAGCCACGGTGCTGAGGCTTTTTTTTTTTTTTACCAAAAAAATCATTGGCAACCAGTTGTATTTTTCTGGATATTTTGGTGACATCAAAATTCATGATTTCTTTTAAATTTTAAATATCCACTTGTTCAAAGCAAATATGGGTTAAGTATATTCAGAAAACCAATTTCTCATACAATTTCTTCATTGTATGAGTAAGTGGATATAGAGATGTAGTAGAAAGTTCAGAATGCGGAGGGAAGGTTCAGAGATGCAAGAGGCACATCAGCTGCAATGGGACACAGCAGAGAAGAGATGGAGACACTAGTTTTCTTTTGGGCAATTGTAGAAAGGGAAATACACTCAATTTTCCAGTTTAAATACATACATACATAGGGGATGTTACAGTGTTGACACAAAAATCATGTTTTAAAAAATGTCTTTCAGGCCTGTTAAACTCGTCCCTAGGGAGATAATTCATTCATAAAAATCTGGAGTCACAGATATCCCACGGGATAGCCTTGTCTCCCAAGAACTTTGCAGGGAAGATAATCTGATGACATGCTCTTCGCCATGTCCTAATTTGTTGGGGATTGTGGCAGCTAAGATTTTTAAAGCTCACTTAGACTTTTCAAGTTAGCGATAATAATAATAATGATAATAACAGTACTTATTATCATACTTGCCAGGATGGCTTCGGAGACTAATCACTAGCCAAATGCCTTTGAACATTGCCTGGTACAAGTGTGTAAATGCTGGTAGTGGAGAGCCAATTGTGATTGGATAGTTCCCTAAAATGTCATTTTATTTATGTTTCCCTGGACTCATGGCTGAAAGACGAAGAGCTTTCTGCCTTTGAAGCCACTTCTCCCCAGTCCCGCTCTCTTCCTCTCCTGTAATTACCCATGATGCCTAGCTGCTTCTAATTTTCACTGTTGCTGAAGTCCCGTTATGATCTCACTGTTCGTGCCATGAAATTCGATCACTTAGAGTTAGTTATAGCATATCCAAGACCAGGAGAGGGGGCAGCGCCAGAAATGCACCAAAGCGGCCTTTTTCTCTGCATAACTTGCTGCCCCAAAGAGATGTAAGGTCACTGGGAGTCTTTACTGTCCCAGGCCACAGGGCACCATTTCATAAATCGGTTTCTTCAAAACAAGCTTTTCTCTTCAGTTGCAGTTTCCTTGGTTGGTAATAGTGACTGCTTGCGAAGCTTGGGAAAAGGGAGAAAGTAGGGCAATGGTGGAGAAAGAATAGAAGCAGGAGCTGAAGCTCGAAATAGTTTCAGGACAGCGTTGCTGACTGGGAAACATGGCCTAATGAGTGGAGTAATGTTAGATGTTTCATCCAATTTACCCATCTGCTCACCCAGATGGCAGAATGAATATTCTAAAAAAAAAAAACCCCACCACTTGGACATCATGTAGGGAAAGTTGTAAAATTAAATGCACAAGGGATACACACACTCCCTAAATTTAGGCCTAAAAAATTAATCATACTATTACAGAATGGAGGATCCCTGTACTGAGTACTTCTGTG